ACTGCTGCTGCTGCTGCTGCTGCGGACGCTCGCTCAGCAGCCCCAGAAGCAGCAGCAGCGGCAGCAGCAGACAGAAGCGTGGCATGCGCGGACCACGCTGAGGAGCAGAAGGAACCGAAAGGCTCGGCAGAGGCGGAAGAAGACGCAGCAACAGGAACAGCAGCAGCAGCAACAGCAGCAACAGCAGCAGCAGCAGCAGCAGATACGAGAGCAGCAGGGACCTCCGTCTGGACTACTCCCCGCAGCGTGAAGGCAATGCTTACGGCTGTTCGTTGGCAGCAGCAGCGGCCGGGCATGGGCCGCAGGAACTCTGAGACGAGGCCGCAGCTGCAGCAGCAGAAGCAGCAGCACCAGCACCAGCAGCACCAGCAGCAGCAGCAGCACCAGCAGCACCAGCAGCACCAGCAGCAGCAGCAGCACCAGCAGCAGCAGCTGGCCCTAGTGACTGAAGGCCTAAACGCAGGCGATGCTTCCCGAATTTGCGAAGCACTTGGGGAGGCAAAGCCTCCAACTGGACAGACCCACTGCCGCAGCAGCAGCAGCAGCAACAGCGCCAGCAGCAGCAGTAGCAGCAGCAGCTTTAAGATATTCAATCTTTCGCTAGATGCGCCGAGCTTGAGCCTCAGCAAGGGCAGCAGCAGCAGCGGCGGAGATTCCACGAAAGACCTCATGGGGCCTCTCTTGAAGCGAGTGAGGCAGCAAGTTGCTGCTACTGCTGTTGCTGCTGCTACTGCTGCTGCTGCTGCTGCTGCAGCGCTGTGTCCCTTCGTCTCCTTTGCTTCAGGTCTCCGCCTCCGAACGAGCTGCTTCCAGGGCCCACTCGGCGATGCTGCAGCAGCGGGAAGTTTGCTGCGGCTTGGCTGATGAACTGCGCGAGCTCACAGAAGCAAAGGACCAGTCAGTTGCTGCTGCTGCTGCTGCTGCTGCTTTTTGCTGCTGCTGTTTGTGCTGCTACTGCTGCTGCTGCCCACTCTTGCTTCTCGCTTGACTCAGTGCTGTTGTCAAGCTGCACGTTTTGTGTCCCGTGCTGCTGCTGGCTGCTGGCGCTGCTACGTTTCCCTACTCAGCAGCAGCAGCAGCAGCTGCTGCTGCTGCAGCAAATGGAGTCTGTCAAAACTAATTTATTTGCTTCTGGTGCATGCATGCATGCGTGCCCCCCGCTGCAGTCGACGCCTCCCGCTATCCGTAATGCACATATGCATCACGGCGCGCGTGCTGCTGCTGCTGCTGCGCTGCTGCTGCTGCTGCTGCTTCTGCTGCTGCAGGCTGCAGCTGTTTATGAGCCAGTTTCTGCAGAGCCAAGAGGCCAAAAGATCTGAACTTGCTATAGACCTTTTCCAAAAGGCCCTTTGGCTAAAAGACTCTCCTTGTCTCCGGCCTGAGGGGGCCCCCCAGCCCCTCCTCAAGTTGCTGCAGCAAAGGGCCCCCGGGGGGCCCCAGGGGCGCCCCCACAAAACGGCGCCCCAGGGGGCCCCCCCGGGGGCCCCCCTGGGAGGCGCTCCGGTTGCACCCCTGGGGGCCCCTTCAGAGGCCCCCTCCGGGGGCCTCCACGAAGGCCTCCCTGGGGGCCCCCCCGGGGGTCCCCCCTGGGGGCCCCTCTGGGGGCCCCCTGGAAGGGAGGGTTCAGTCAGGGGCCCCAGAGGGTAGGGCCCCAGGGGAAGCTTTGGGGGGCCTCCAAGAGCCTTCTTTGGGGCCCCCATTTGCTGCTAAGTAAAGGGCCCCGTGGCTATTCGGAGACAGTCAAAATTTGGGACTTCTGGGGCCTTCACAGTGGCATTTATTTTATTTATTTGTCCCCCAAACCCTAAACCCTAAACCCTAAACCCTTTTCGGCTACACAAGCCTCTTAGACTTCCCGAAAGCACCGCCTCACGCCCAAGCCTTGGGGCCCCCAAACCCTAAACCCTAAACCCTAAACCCTCGCAGCCCAGCGCAGCAGAGCTGTGGGCCCCGAAGGGACTGCTGCCTTTTCAGCTGGCTTGCTGTCTCCTTTTCGTAGCTGCAGCGGCTAGCTGCCGCAACTAGCTGCTGCAGCTAGCTGCTGCAGTTGCTTCTTCACTAGTTCGTAGAGCTGCTGCGCCCTCTATGTTCAACTGCTACAGCTAGGCTGTGTATGAGCTGCAGCGCAGCGGCTGCTGCAGCACTTGGGCCCTCTGCTGCTGAAGCTGGAAGCAGCAGCAACAGCAGCAGCAGCAGCTAGAACACCTTTTGTTCCTTTATTTAGTTACTAGCGGCGACTTTGAGAAAACGCCAAAACGGTACTATTTTGGGACCCGGGGGGCCCCCCCTGCCCCCCTGGG